AAAAAAAAAAAAAAAAAAAACAGGAAGATATATCTGAACATCATTGCAAAGTGGTTGAACGTCCATTCATTCCCCAGAGTATTATCAATCAAGCATTAACTTTGCGTGGCTAAAGAGCTGACTAAAGTGCTTTCTTAGTTGGAGTGTGATCATAAATCATTTGAAACAAGACTAATATTTAGTCAAACCTCTTTAACTGGTCAATTCATAACTTCTAAGCTAAATTGCATGTTGCAAAAGTTATTGCCGTCCGAAGTTGGAACGTGCAATCCATTCTTGGAACGCTGCAAAACAATCTGCGGTTTCGTCTGAATCATCTGACCCGAAGTGTGAATCAGCATTTGAGTATGAAGTTGGAACTGAGAGAGAGAGAGAGAGAGAGAGAGAGAGAGAGAGAGAGAGAGAGAGAGAGAGAGAGAGAGAGAGAGAGAGAGAGAGAGAGAGAGAGAGAGAGAGAAAGAGAGAAAGAGAAGGAGAGAAGAGAGAGTGAGAGAAAGAGAGAAGAGAGAGAGAGAGAGTGGATAGAGAGTGCAGAGAGAGAGAGAGAGAGAGAGAGAGAGAGAGAGAGAGAGAGAGAGAGAGAGAGAGAGAGAGAGAGAGAGAGAGAGAGAGAGAGAGAGAGAGAGAGAGAGAGGAGAGAGAGAGAGAGAGAGAGAGAGAGAGAGAGTTGTTGCTGTTCTAGAGTTGCAAGACTGGGGATGGGGATAGTGCTATTATGGTTTAGTTTCAACTTTTTTCGTGTTTTTGTTTTGTTATTTCCTTGAAGACTCTGAAAACTCGGCCTCATCCACTAAGAAGAGAGTTTCGATTTCAACGGGACAACAATTACATTTGCAATGAAGAGAAGAGAGAGAGAGAGAGAGACGAGAGAGAGAGAGGAGAGAGACTTGAGAGAGAGCGAGAGAGATGAGAGAGAGAGAGAGAGAGAGAGAGAGAGAGAGAGAGAGAGAGAGAGAGAGAGAGAGAGACTGAGAGATGAGGAGAGAGAGAGAGAGAAGAGAGAGGAGAGGAGAGAGAGACGAGAGGAGAGAGAGAGAAGAGAAGGAGGAGAAGAGAGAGAGGAGGAGAGAGAGAGTAGAGAGGAGAGAGTGAGAGAGAGAGAGAGAGAGAGAGAGAGAGAGAGAGAGAGAGAGAGAGAGAGAGAGAGAGAGAGAGAGAGAGAGAGAGAGAGAGAGAGAGAGAGAGAGAGAGAGAGAAGAGAGAGAGAGAGAGAGAGGGAGAGAGGGAAGAGAGGAGGGAGAGGGAGAGAGAGAGAGAAAGAGAGAAAGAGAAAGAGAAAGAGAGAGAAAGACAAAACAGAGGGAGAAAATTGATATTTTGACCATATTTCAAATAAACTTCCCTTGCCATCGTTCACAAAATCAACACATTTTTTTCAATAACTTCAATAAATCACTATAACTATAACTATAATTATAACCACACTCAGCTTGAGTATTCGATAAAGAACGGGGGGATTTGGTATAGAAAGAAAGAAAGAAATATGGAAATAAAGAAAGTAGAATGTAGCAATAAAGAAGGGAAAAAGGACTGAAAGAGAAGAGAAGAGAGAAGGAAAGAAAGGAGACTGTAAAAGAAGGGAGGATGTAACAGCAATAAAGAGAGGAAGGGACTGAATGAGAAGAGGAGAAGAGCAAAAAAAAAAATTTAAATAGAGAATTGAATTGAAAGAAAGACGGAACAACAATACAGAAAGGAAACGAAGGAACTGAAAGAAAGAAGGAACAACTAAAATAAAAAAGAAAATTGAAAGAAAAAGAAACGAAAGAAAGAAGGAAGGAACACCCAAAACAGAGAAGAAACGAATAAATTAAAAGGGATTAAAAAATTATAAAAAAAATAACACCAAAAGAAAAAGAAAACGAAGGAATTGAAAGAAAACGAAAAACGAAAGAAAGAAAACGGGGAAAATGCAATATCCGTAACAGAAACTCTCATAAATGACCTTTCACCTCACGACCTTCAAGTCACGTGATCTTGTCCTCACTTGAACATGCTGCTGACATGACCTCCCACGTGACTATCTGGCGAGGGGCGTGAAATGAGGAAATATAGATTGCTGATAGGAAAAAATAGATAAATGAGTAGATTAATGAAATTAAAGAATCAAAGGAAAAGGATGATGAATGAAAGGAAAGGAAGGGAGAGGGAATGGTGATGATAATGATGATAATAATGATAATGGTGTTAATGATGATAATGATGGTGATAATAATGATGATAGTGATATTGATGGTGATGATGATGATAATGATGATGGTGATAATGATGATGATAACGATAGTGATAAGGATAATGACATCTGGCTTATCGACCGATAATTATGACATTAGCCAATTTTAGAATGTTCTTTAATTTAGATATCTTTTTACGACGTAAGTGTTTCATGAAAGAAATTATTCCATTTGTTTGTTTTCTAGATTTTATTTCTTTATAATGTTTGGGATTTAACTTTTTGCTCTTGATATTTAGATGTATAATAGTTCTCAGATTTACGTTTGTAGGAGAATTGTAGATAATATATGTATTTTTTTCATTATGGAAATGCTAAGATATAATGATTGCTTTTGCTTAACATTATTATCATACCAAAGCAGTGTTTTTATTTCATATTTTCAACTATCTTAAAACAAACCAAAGCCTCCTCAAAAGACGTTTGAATTCTAAGAAAATATCTAGCCTCTCTTGCATGTCCCTTGCTTATCCTCTTCCGGTGGTCACTGTACAAAAGAAAAGAAAAGAAAAGAAAAGAAAGAAAGAAAGAAAGAAAGAAAGAAAGAAAGAAAGAAAGGAAGGAAGAAAAAAAGAAAGAAAGAAAAAGAAAGAAAGGAAAAAGAAAAAGAAAAAAAATATATATGACACTATATATATATATATATATATATATATATATATATATATATATATATATATATATATATATATATATTATATATATATATATATATATATATATATATATATATATATATATATATATATGACACTAATTACTTTCATTTTCTGCGATTTATCTTCCTGTTGTAATGAATAAGCTTTGTATAACAGTGTATCATTATCTTTTATTCCTTTCTGGTTATCTTTTTAAATCTAACAGGATGTTATTACACTTTTCTTGTAGTCATCTCTGTCTTATACTGTGGAAATCTGTTATAAGACAAAGTATTCCCTACAAAAAAACGTTTTCTATTAACTACATTACTTTTTGTTTTCTTTAAGGGGTAAATTAATGAAATGTTAATGAAAAAGTATACAGATATATGAAATGCCACTTTGAAATTGGAAAGAATACATTTTGTTCTGTAATACTAATATTGGCGTGATTATAATAAATCAGTAAAGCAGAATATTCCTCCTTGCTTTCCTCAACTAACTTTGCATTTTCGGCGAATTTATAACATAATGCAGTGCCTCAGCTGTAACTATGTATGGTAGGGTCAACTGTAGTAATCATCAAAATACTATTTGCACTTATAGCTGAATATCAATGGTAGAAAAATACTACTACCACAATCTGACAATATATATTTTTTCATCTCTGTTTCTTCCATTTCTCCTTCTTGGCATACCAATACCTTTTTCTTAACCTTTCTTGTTCTTAATTACCTTCTTCTTCCTCTCTCTTTTAATTCTATTCATCTTTTCTACTTTTTCCTCCCTTGTTTTTTTTTCGCGAACCTCTCAGTTTCTCTTTTTCCTCAATCATCCTGTATTTCTCTGTTTTAAGCATAACTGAAATAAAATGCTGAGTATATATCTTCACCATATATTTTTTGTTATAAATGTAATTTGTTGACATTCCTACTTTTTCATTCATTTATTTATATTGCCTCTAATTATTTTCATATTAAAATTATATATAATTTAAATTGCTTAATTCAATGAATGGGTGCTGTAATAACAATTATTGTTGTAAGACATAAAATATGGAGTAATACTATGAATAATAACAAAGGTAATAACACACTAGTATTAACAATAACCATGATGTAACATTATATACAATTAAGCCCATATGACGTTTGCTCGAAAATAGAATTTTATACAACTTCTCTGGTAACTGTGTCTGTAGGATATGGAACATCTACCAAAATAAGGTCTACCCCTGAGTAATGAAACGTAATGCATTTGTTGGGTGATTTGGAAGGATATCTGGGCAAGGGAATGAAGGTTTGAACTAGACCACCCTATCCTGGGCAAGAGATTTAGAATTCAGTGTATTTATAAACGTACTGTATTCGTAGTGCAATAATTATATACTCTTCCCGGTAAAATGCAGATACACCAAGCACAAATCTTGGAAAAGGCAGAGACAAGTTACAACTCATGAAATTGGGTATTCACACAGATTTCTTAAAAAGTCTATGCAAATAACCAGCTATTTTTAAGGTATTGCTCTGTCTCTAAAGATAAAGATCATATTAACCAATGTGGACTTACTAGGAATACAAATACCTTACATTGTTTACATGAGGTATTTAAGCAGTTTACATTTAAAGAGCTAGACTGATATTTAATCCAATGCTGAAGGGAAAATGCTGCATCCACATGAGAATTTTATTCAATGTTTCTATACAAGAATGGTTTTGACAGCGCTTTGCCACAAAGGAGTCAATTAGTAGATTTTGTGACCTCGCATTTCCTTGAAATAGTGGGGATTTTTTTTTTTTTTTACCAATATACAATATTTACACTTATCTTTGTTATAAACATTGCAATTACTATAATGTTCTTGACATTATTAACAGCAGTGTTAAATACTAGAAAATGTTAACGCAAATCACCGGCAGCATGTGGTTAAAGAGGTCCTCGGAAAGTTTGGTTATTCATAATGCAATGTCTTGAAAAGTTCAGATTCTTAAAAGACAAGAAAAAATAAGAAAAAGAAGGATAAAAAAATATATCAACTTCTTTTCATCATTATTTATAATTCCATAAAATGGCATTTTCTGAATTCCATTTCAGGGTAAAAGTATCATGAGGCAAAATAAAAAAAACAATGTTTATTTCAAAATTGTAATTTCCTTCTCAGAGAACAAGTCTGCTCCTTACAATTCATCTAAAAAATGATACTTTTTGCAATCTAACTTTAAACTTAAGAAAGGTAACAATAACCAAACAAGCAATAATGCTGTACAAACTTCCTCAAAAATAAAATCAAGTCTCCCTTCATTATACAATCATTACATAATAACTCTACCCTACACATTAAAATGTTGAGCACACAGTTATCATTATCACAATTTAGAACAAGGCACTCTTATATATCTTGGAAAACATCCGGAATGGCAGCCTATATTCTTTTTACCCTTTTTATAAACAAATCAATAAATTTTCCCCCATGTCTGATCAATTTAAAACTGTTGTTCATGACAGCATAAATAAATAAATAAGGTACCTTACTGCAGCAGCAAAATAACCTCCTTTTTTTCATACCATAAACTTTGTATTTTAAAAACGACTCCTTAACACACCTGCATAAACTTGACCTCCAAAATTATAGTTCAATGTGTTCATTTGTATATAATTTTCCCGTTTTTCTTCCACTTGGAATGCACCTTCTGGTTTAGTCTTTGTGGAGAGTCTATGCAATCTTTATTACAATCTTCTGTCTTGCCACATAACAAGAAGCACCTTGTTTCATTTTCAAGATCACCAGTTCACTCTCCTGTAAATGTGCACTCCATATACATATAAATAAATTTGTACATTGAAGGTATAGAGCTCTACTTAACAGCAACTACAGACTGACGGGTTTTATGCCAGTTCATTAAACGGTATTCAATAATGACTCTGTCAAAGGATTTCTGAAGACTAAAAAAAGTATGAAAAGTTATAAAAATAATGGGGTGATGCAAAGTAATTCTACAAACTATCTAAATATGAATGCGTAACCTTTCTCTTCTTAAATCTTTGACACTTACAAAAATAGCTTACATATAAATGACTTAAAAGTAGCTAAAATTTAAAGGAAACTGCCCATTTGTTTTTTGAGAAGAAACCTTCAAATACTTCAGCTTATTGTTAGACTCAATAACAATACAGTAATTCATAACATTGTTTTACTTATTCATTCTTATCTATTAAGTACCTTTCCAGTTTACATCCTAGAAGATATTGGTCTCCACAAAAGTTACTGTATGAAATCATTACAAAATCACCTCATTGACTTCAAAAGCACCTTTGCAGTAATTTGAACCATACATAAAAAATACATGGAAAGTGTACCTACGAGGGATTCTGTGAGCTAGATCAATGCTAGCCTTTATTCAAGACAGACATTCCCTTTCTAACCTTATAGCGAGTTAGCGCACTGCAATGAGCGCACCTTTGAAATAAGTTTTGAAGCGTATGTTAAGGAACCTTTGTAGTGGCACGTTAGCATCTCTGTACTCTGCATAAAGTCGAATTCAGCGTCATAGTTTAGCGTCTCTGTATACATGGGCAAATACATGCAGTACTTACTTTCTCTTCATTTCTGTATACAATCAAATAATAGTCTTCCAGAAAAAATATATACAAGAGAATTCTCTCTCTTTGCTGTGACCATCTAGCATCTTTCACCAGAGATGGCTGGCCAGATACAACCTACAAAACTACCAACTTGTATCCCTCCGCAGTGACTCCTTTGCATGTCACTGCATATTGCTCAGAACTGTCTGCACATGCTCAATGCAGTGCTCCACCTCATCATGGTCTGAACGACACTGCTCAAGCCTGAAAATAGAAGAAGGATCTGATATAAATATTGCATCGAAAAGTTATACATAAAAAAAATCAAATCATATGGTGGAATGAACTAATCCTCACCTTAGCTACAGAAAAGCAGGTGTAAAGTACAAAGCAAAAACAAGAATTTATGAAGGTAAAGGGTAAAAGTCAAAAGGGAACGTCCTAAGAAGCTTTCGCACAAGGAAGAGTAAATTCGGAAAATAAATTTACATAAACCTATGTCCCTATAGCATAAGAAGGCAGTAACATTCTCTTACTTCTTCAACAAGTTCTCCAGCTGATCCCTATTCCACTTGACCTCCTTGAGACCTTGGAGGCAATACTGTGCAAGAGTCTTGAAGCAGAAGCGCCGGGTGTTGTTGTGATGAGACGCATCCCACTGGGGTGTCGCACGGACATAGGACCACGCGATGAGAGTGTAGTCAATAAGGCTTGCCCACTGCTCAGCCTCGGCCAGCTGGGTGCACTGCTCCTGTACAGTTTTCTGTTGATTGCATGAGACTAAGTAAATCATTTCTGACTATGAATAACTGACTTAGGAAATGTGAATTTTACTCATTGAATGGCTTAGGGATAGAGAGATCAGAGGGAAGAAACAAGAATAAAATGAAGAGAATTTATTTGCAAACTAAAAATAAAAAATAAACATAGTTGTGCCATCATGATGTTGACTGTAACAAAAAGACCACCTTAATCAACAAATAAATAAATGCCATAAAATAGCCAAAATATCAATACCAACCCCTGTAATACAAATTACAAACCTTGAAATTTGACAAATGTGGGGATGCCTTGTTATAAGCCGGAGAGTCCGTCTTGGAGGCTAATCGTGAAACTGGCAGTGCCTTGAAGATGCACTTCTTCTGCTGGTTCAGTTTCTCTTCCATTTGCTTCAAATCGGGCTGGGGCAGGATGTCTGATATCTCGTCTGGAAAGGCCACATAACAAATGAGACAAGGAACAAAAAATGTTTGAAAACCAGCAAAACATGAAAAAAATCAAATATGCATGCACATGCACGCACACATTCACACACACACACACACACACACACACTCAACACACACACACACACACACACACACACTCACTCACTCACTCACTCACTCACTCTCTCCAAAGGAACTACTTGTACAAGCAGAAAGAGATCAAAAGGGAGGGAGGGAGGGGAAGGAAAGGGAAAGAGGGAGAGGAGAGGGATAGAGGAGGAGAAGAGAGGGGAAGGATAGAGAAAGTAGGGAAGTGGACAGGAGAAGGAGACAGCAAAAGTGGATGAGTAAGAGAGGAGAAAAAGGAGAAGGTGAGGGAGAAAGGCAAGTATGGAATGGAGGGGAAGGTGAAGAGAGACAGACAGACAGACAGACAGACAAGAGAAATATCACAATCACAGGAACCACCTGCCTTTTAGCTCTGGATGCCTTTCCAAGACACTGTTGAGAACATCAACCAGCTGGTGTTGTGTCAGTCCCTTTATAGCAACTTCTGGTGGAGACTGAACAGGCGAGACTGTCAAACTGCGGCATTTCTTTACAATGGGTGACATCTGCATCATCATCTATTAAAATAAAACAAAGCATATATAAAATTAACTGGGAAATGAAGTTGCAATTTTTATCTACACTTATCCTCATAAGCAAATCATTGTAACTGATGGCAAACTTGTAAGCAATTGTTCTTCTGCAGACAATGCATCAACTTGCTGAATTTTATCAGTCCAGCAATTATTTCATAACATAACATGTTTGATATTAATGAAATGACAACAGAACATATTTTCATTAAGAAAACTTGAAAAAATATTCAGTGATACCACTGGCACTTCTTCAATATCTTACCTAATTCCAGGAATCCCACCTTTAAATAATTACAAAAACAGTAAGATGACTCTTCCCTCTCTACACCACCCTGCACCAAACATACCCGTCTACTCTCCAGGAGCTCCTTGGGTGGAGTGTCGCTGAGCTGCAGCCTCTTTCTCGGAGAAGATCGGAGGACAATCATGCCTTTGCCCGGAGACCTCTTGAGGGGGGTCTTCTCCATACGCTTCACAGGGCTCTCTATGGGGATGGGAGACCACTCTAGGGGGAGGGATCTCCGGCCCCTGCCTCGGATTACGAGCTCATCTGGTGAAGGTGTTGGGGAGAGGTACGAGGAAGGGAGGTTGACCGTTGCCGAAAAGGTGAGGCCATTTGCTGGGTTTCCTGTTTAAATGAGAGAACATACTTATATACATTTGTGGGATATCCAAAATAGGTCATTACAATAATAATAAAATCTATGCAGGCAATATCATCATCTTTAAATGAAAAGTAAGAGATTGCACAGACTGTAACCTGAGAAAGAAGTCTCTTGGTATCAAAATGTATTGGAAATGCTGTAATTGTGAAAGGATATCTAGAAAAGTTATCTATTAATCCATACACTGAATTATTTGGAAATCCAATGAACTCCCTACCATGCAAAATCAAAATATATATATATATATATATATATATATATATATATATATATATATATATATATATATATATATATATATATATATATATAATGATACACTATACATGTTTCGTTTGCTGGTGGCTGACTTCAAGCACCTGCAGGTTGGAGGATTTGAGCAGGCAGCTGCCTTAAAGGCAATGCATATTATGCAGCTCCCCACCCTCACATCTAGACAAAATAGCTACATCCATCAATAAATGCTGTAAGGATTCTTCTCTTGATGATCATACATTATCTATATGCAGGTGCTTTCTCAAATCAAATAGAAATTAAATTGAATGTTAGTGCCAACAATTAGACAAGGCTGATGCACTATTTCAGTGACAAACTTCTAGAAGCCTTTACACTGGCAAATCCACTGCACCAGGGGATGATGGAATTTCTTTTGACATCATGTGACTCCTTGCAGATCTACGGGTAAAGAGGAGAAATCCTCTTCTTGACATTGACATTGACATGATAATGTATATAGGCAGACAGTAGACACTAGTCTTGGCATATCTGGGCCTGTGATGAAGACATTGCTACAAGACTACGAGGGATGTGGGCACACCCTGTATGTCGACAATTGGTATAGTAGTCCTCTAGTCTTCAAATATCTCCAGAGCTTGTGGAACTCTGAGACCTTCACAGAAGCACTTGCCAAAGTTTCCAGATATAAAGGTGACAGAAAAGTATTCCACGCGAACAATGTCATGGCCATGAAGGTTCATGGATGTTACTTTATTTTCGACAATCCATTTTGATAATATTGTTGAGACGGAAATAATTAACTAAATGGTAGCATACAGATTAAACCAAAACTTCCTGTAGATTATAATTGCAATATGAATCTAGTAGATAAGAGTAATATGATGCTGAACACCATAGAATGTTTGAGAAAATCATTGATGTGGCACAAAAATTACTTCTTCCATATGATGGATATGACTGTCCTGAATTCATTTTACCTGTATCAAGAAAAGACACCGAAGAAAATAACACTCAGTTTTCAGTCTAAATCAAGCTGTACAGCTAATTGATAGATTTTCTGAGCCTCGAGTACAACATACAGGATGTCCCCCATCCAGCATTACACTGCCAAAGAGACTGAATAAGCGGAATTTCTCAAAAAAGGTCCAACAAAGTGAAACAACTAAGTGTGCCTAAAAGGTGTTTTTTGTCTGCCATCACACCCATATCAAACAGAAGAAGGCACTCACATCATTCATGTATCCAGAGTGCAATGTTGGTTTGTGCATACTTCCATGCTTTGAGGAATATCACACAAAACAAATATTCTAGAATGTAATATAGCATGCCTTATGGTCTGGTACTAATATGGACTTGTGCTACAAAAAGAAATATTCAAAACTACTAGTGTTATTCAGAAAATAATGAAAATGCGTATCACACAGGGGTGCACATGACTTCAGTGTGTATCAATGAAAGGGTTAAACTCTACAGCATGTGGTTCGTCTGTTGTTTGGAAACACTTGAATCATCATTCCCATTCTTTACTCTGGTGAATATAGACCAATTTATTCACCAGGGGAGGTGAGGCGTGGGGGGCATAGTGGTATAGGAAATTGCGCTTGGCAATCAAGGTGTTGTGGGCCAGTGATGAACGAGTGAGCTTTATTTGCTGTCTGTCTCTCTCAACACTCATTTTATGCCTAATACATAAGCTGCTGCACTCTCTGTTGTTATAAATTTATATTATCTGATCTTATCCTTACATCTCAAACATGCCAAAAGCAAAACCTAGGTACACAAAGAAAAGAAAGAATGCCAAGACTCTTGAAAGAGCTATCACAGCTCGGCAAATGGCATTGGCACTCGACCACCACCCGGTCTAATACCCCATCCCCTGACCCTGGCTGGTCAGGTACCCCTTCTCCTGACCCCGGCCTGTGTGGCACCCCTTCCCCTTCCCCTGGCCTGTCTGGTACCCCTTCCCCTGACCCTGGCCGGTCTGGTACCCCTTCCCCTTACCCCAGCCGGTCTGGTACCACTTCCCCTGACCCCAGCCGGTCTTGTACACCTGCTCCGGGTTCCGCCCTGACTCTGCCCCATGCCCCGCACCACAGCATTTTCCTCGCCCATCGACGTCCAGAAATGAGGATCCCTTAGCCCGGCCTCCCATTCTGTATCACGTTTTGATGTGAGGGAATTCCGATTTGTCGGAGGAGGATGCTGTGAGGAAGAGCGAACTCTCAGAGGATTTGTACATTTTACGATTGTCCTCTGATGAGTGTGAAGTGATGAGGTGATGAAGTAGCCTCTGCCTCAACCTCAGACATCCCTGTGACCCCCATTTCACCATATGACCCCCGTCCAGGTCCCAATGCACCATGATTCCACATGGTCACAGAGATCCTGGGTATAATGTATGCCTGTACAGTTGTACTCATACTCAGGATCTGCTGGACATGGTGACTTGCAAAGCCTGTGGTGGTGATCTCACCATCACGCGTCATGGTGCAGGCTTTGCACAATATGACAAATGGCAATGTTATAAATGTAGTGAACTGACAACCACAAAACACACCAGGGCCAGTGGATGTTATATTCCGAATTTGACTTTGGTGTATACATCCCTGGTCAATGACGATGGTTATAATGGTTACATTCAGTATTGTGGTGCCCTCCATATACCGGCCCTTTCCAAGTATGTGTATTACCACCATGCTCATATCTTGTTCGAAAGGATGGAAGCCCACTATGCTGAATCAATGCCCATCATATACCAGACTGTCACTCGGTACTATTGAGACGAACTTGTGTTGTCTGTGGACAATATCATTCCCATTGAAGTATCCTACGATGGCACATATGCCAAGCTTGGGTTCAGGAGCCTTCACTTCATGCGAAGGGTTATCTTGTTGAGGTGTACACCAGGTATATTATCAATATGTTGGTAATCGGTAAATGCTCAGTGTGCCCTCGAGAAATGCCTGGTATGGAAGTGTGTCCTCATGGGAATTATACTGGTTCCTCAGGAGGGATGGACGATGGAGGATTTGAATATAAAGTCATGGTGGCTGATGGCGATGCTTCCACCTACAATGCCATCAGAAACATGTATAGTTGTAATTTTGTCGTTAAGATGTGTGCTAACCATGCTGGTAAGCGAATGAAAACCCGCTTACTCAAACTGGCTAATACATTTACGCAGAATACGACCTTCATGTCGGGGAGAAGGGGTCAAGTCAGGAAGACTTATCCCCTCAAAAAATTGTTGACAGCAGCAATGGTGAATAGGCTCAATAACTACTACATCAGTGTAATACACTCCTGTAATGGAACAGGCGTAGTAGGAATGCAATCTTGCATTCTTGCTGCATTTCACCACCATTCTGATCACACTTTTTCTCCCCACCACCATGACTTCTGCCCGCCTGGAGAAGGCTCCTGGTGCAAGTACCAGAAAGCTCTGGCTCGTGGCGAGGACCCATCCAAAGTTATCCAGAAGCCTAGGATTTTCTCCACCTTTCCCCCCGATGCTCAAAAAGAGGTGGAGAAAATCTACTCTGATCTTTCAGACGTCAACTTTACTGAAGAAGTGCCAGAAGGGCCACACCCAGAACGTCAACTAGTCATTGCACTCCAAATTGTCCAAGGTTGCCAAGCACACGTACCATGGTCACACGAGGATTGTTTTCCTGGTTCGTGTGACAACCTTGGACCCCAATTTTGGTAGCGAGGAGAGCTCGTTGCTCCGTTCTTTGGGTGTGGGCACCTCTGACAAGTGCCTTCGGGTACTTCGCTTCCAGGATTCTGAAAGTTTCAGGGTAGCCTCCCGTAATCCCAGGCCGCGGCAGCAACTGGAGGAAGCAGAGGATGCTGGCTCCGATTATGCTGCGGGTGAGTTTGATTGAAGCGTGTTTGTGTGAGTGAAAGTGAATGTGTTTGTATGACAAAGTTCTTGTGATGCGAAAAGAGCATATTACCCCATATTACCCCAGTTAATACTATGCTTGGTCTCGGACTCGTACAGCTTCCATCCAGATCATAAAGTAATCTTGTTTTGTCCAATGAGATTAATTATAAAGTTCGGCATGTCCAATTTGATACAATCCAACTTAAAATGGAAAGCTAAAACTACACTCACAACTCTTTGTTTCAATGTGTGGACCCAGAAAAAACACTGAACCTGAACATAAAACTCATGTATATGTTTATAATGATAAATTACCAGGCCTACATCAAAGACTAACTTTTTAAAAAGACATAACTAAAACCTCATTACTTGAGACACAAATACAATATTCTCTTTTCCCTTCATAGTAAGCCCCACTTGCAATTTGCCTTAACTGATATTCATGGAGCAGCAAGGACTGGGGTACTAATTTTGGAAATTGTTGCAAATTTCCTACTGTGATTCACTGCATTTAGTACAGAAAACATGGCAAATAGAAATATCCTTTAACAAACTTCTACACTCATGAAGCATGGTATTCAAGTGTTACTATTCTAGATAACATCTCAAATAGGAATATTGTTACAAAAAGTGTACTATAAGAATGTAAGTGTGTTTGTGTTCGTGGCAATGAAAAGCCCGCCAAAATATGTATCAAATAGGAATATCAACCTGTGACATGATTAATCAGTTAACCTAATAAGCAATCCCCAATGAAGAACCATCCTATGCAGTACCACTATATCTCCAGCTGTCTTGCTGCCTTCTAGATTATGAAGGTCAAGTATGGACCACCAAAAAACTGAAGAAAAATGAAAATGGTACAATCTGGCATTATGAAAGTAATGCTGGGCATTAGATATAGATGAACCTTATGAAGTGTATAATGGTCCCCCTTGGAGATATCAGGTTACACTGACCGGCAATGCATAGGATATCAGTACACTATATTATATGTACAGGATGCAGTTTGGGTAGCAAAGCCAAATTTTGTCTTTGATATGATTAACAATACAAAAAGCTTTTACTTATCACATGATGTGTGAATAACGTAAACACAATGACACAGCCCTTCAGATATGTAGAACCAGTGATCGACTAACAGCCCTCTATATAAACAAGCACAACCAATATCTTACCACAGCATTTCATAGGCAAGTACAATTCTGGAAATTCTTACCAAATCAAATCAATCTCAGTCAAGGTTAGCTTCTGGCAATAAAATTACAAATAGTACAAAGCACCTATAGACGAATGCCTCTTCCGCAACATGTTTACACTGTATTGTGCTAAGGGCCTTTCTACAGATTCTCTCTGTAGTTCTTGTACCAGTATGATATAAGGAGCCATATTCAAACCCTGTACACAACTTTTACTGTTGTTAGTTTGTCATATTTGACTATAAAATTCAGTAATTTCTAATATTAGAAGCAAAGAAACTTTTTCATATCATTCCCGTTCCTTTTCAAGATCTTGCTTTACATAGACTTTAAATCTCACACATGCACACACTCATGCAGACATACATATAGATAATCATCTGACAATATTCAAAGTGTAGTTAGATGAATACAAATGGAAAAGAAAATCTAAATGTGTTTGACCTTGATTTGGTATATATAGTGGAAAAATTAAAAAAACCATTTGCCTATTGATATATGCCTCAGCATTCTAAAAATGATCGCTAATCTCCAACATGTATATTCTGGATGTATCTTCAAATAGCCATTCAGTATATGGTGGAGGTTGGTTGGCCTTTGCTGGAGTGCTAAAGGTATGTAGTGTGCTAAATACTAAACATTGTCACATATCTGATTGGATTTAAGATTGTAGGCCTCTCACCACAAATTCAGAATGATCTAGACAAAATGCAAACAATATATTTACAAGAAAGAATGAAAAAGAAGTTTAGAAGGCAACTACTTGGTAGTAAAAAAATTGTATTCTGGTTATATGTGTCATTCTTCAAAGTCAGTATAACAAATGATCATTCATAAACCTCAGTAGCAGAATCTTTACATACACTGCATGCTTTAATTTGGCCTATAACAACATGCAATGACAAGCTGTCTTATCCACAAACTGATAGGTTCCTGTTCAAACTGTTTATTCACATCATGGGCCACAGTCAAAAACATTTTCAACAAGACAAAAATTGTGATGGTCTAATGGTCTAATAAATGCCATTGGTTTTCTGTTCACTTTTGTTGGACTGTCTTTGTTACTGACTATAGTTGGATGTTCACCTGCTCTCTATTAAGTAACCTGCTCTTCCGCATGATAGCTTTAAGCATTTGAAACATGAAAAGTTCAGATAGTGTAAAGGTATTAGCATAATAGACTAGATGTTAATAAATGTTATAAATAGATCACATTATGGTAAAACTCAAGGATATCTATTTGTTTTTGATTTGCAGAAAATATAAATGGACTTGAAATAAATTACACCACACACTTGGCAAAAAATACAAGTTCCTGCGACAGATTGTGCCCTATGGGCATTGTTCTAGGGGGAGGCAACAACCCCTAGTAATACCCTAGTAAAGTCTTTACCTCAGTATGCGCGACAAAATAAATCTGAAACTTGGGAGCACCAAGTGAACTTCGGCTGTGAGCATCACTCTCTGTGATCAATTTCAATTATTTGTGGCATTACCATTTGTATTTACAGATTAGGGTCATTCTTTACAGTATAGATACACTTGTCAGAGACTAAGTCTTAAAATCCACATTACAAAATCTATTAAACAATTTAAATTGCCGCAACTGGGTGTACCCGTTGAGCACTGCATGAGGGGTTGGTTGACGAGGGGGGGTCTGCCCTCCAAGTCCACCACAGGAAACATTGGCTTCACCTGGGTATGCACATCAAGATGGCACTGAAATTCAAGAGCACCATGTGGACTTACGCTGAGAGCATCACTTTCTGAGACCTTTTTCTTTTCTTTGCGGCATTACCTTTCATGTCTGCATATCATTTATTGCACCAATGATTACAATTTATTGTCCTCTACAAGAACATCCTCAATTTGCCCTAGTTTAGCACATCCTCACTGTAGAAATTAACCTGGATTAGTTCTTGTACCAATATCTGCAACCTTTTGTCCTCTGTAAGAATATCTTCTCCAGTTTGCCAAAGCTTGTCTCCATACTGTAAAGATAAACCTTAATTCCTTTGTGGATAGCACAGGCATAAGGCCATAAAAAAAGGTAAATTTCCAGTGCTGTGAACATAACTCTCCATAAAGTTGATATTACATGGAATTGAGAGATTGACTAAATGTTAAACATGTCACTGCCAAATAGTACCTACGTTACCCAACATCATAAACAGCAACAAATCATTTGTGTTAGCCTATATATCAGCCTGACAATCAATATATCAATTTCATTCACTGAACTCTCTCTGCGCATTTGAATCCACCCAAAGTAGAGAGGAAGCTAGACGCTACAAGCAAAACAATGTCTACGAACTTTAGCTTTTTTGTAGACTAAAATGGTAATTTCTCATGGGTTGAGGTAAACAGAAGGACTGCACTGGCAAGGGTGAGGATCTTAGGGTCCTATCCTGATAAGGAAATATGCCAATAGGTTTAGCAAGTTCTTTTGATTCAAAGGGTGAACTTTGTGGTACAACCCGTATTCATGGTGATAAATGTAGAAAATGTATGAATGAGAATGAATATCTTTTGCATTGTGAAGGTATTTACTCTTATACTTTCTCCACACAATGTTGTGGTAGTCTGTACATGCCTTCGGAAAAGGGGGTTTATCGATTCTGAAAATAGATGGGTGAAATGCTGTTGTGAACCTTTACCGTATCGTGAATTTAGTAACCAGCCTAAGCTCTGTCTTGGGCGGAATACAGGCAGTGCAAGCTTGTTGTCTTTTGCTGGAGAGCCAAAGGAAAGAAGACCAGCGATCACTTCACATCACTGCTCTCAGATACCTTATATTATATAAGTTTTATTTGCAATTTCTCCAAGGAAATGCCAAAATTACTCTTTACCTTATATTCAGTTGATCTGTCGCCCCCATCGTGTCATGCGCCAATATAACCTGAAATCAATAAACATCAAAACGAAGTAGACACCCACCTGTCTGCCTCAGGGTGAAGGTGGCCGGCCTGGGGATCTCCTCAAGCGCGCCCCTCGTCCTGTGTGCCACGGGCTCCCCTCCGCTCGGCCCCAACAACACAACGCCCTCGGCCATCTTCAAGGGTTCCTTTCAAAACAATCCGCGAAGGAATCTTAACCACGTATTCCCACAGAATCCTACGAGGGTATCCTACGTAGGTTTAATACAGAGGAATCCTACGGTGGTATCCTTAAGAGGGTATTTTAAGGTATTCTTGTGAAGTCTGGTATGCTATGGGGGTTTGCTTTGGTATCCTGTGATGGTATCCTTTTGGGATTATCCTACGGTACCTTATTTTGGTGTTTTTCCAGCAAAATACTCTTCACTCTCCCACTTCTGAGGTCACAGGAGGCTCAAGGACTCGTGGGGAAAGAAAGACGAAGGAGGATGCAAAGGATGGAAGAAATATTTTTTTTGTTTTTGTTTTTGCTGGACCTTTAAATCGCGAGTCTCTTTAAATCGCTTATTTCGACTCGATTTTCTCCGTTTCTGGTCTCCTCGTGGGCCTTATTTCCCTCTTTCGGAGGAGTGAAGCACGTGTCTCTCCCACAGGAAGATATTTATGCACTTTTAAGGAGAATTCTGGCAATTATCAAGCCTTTTTTTGTGTATATTACGGGATCTCCCAGATGGCGGCCTCCACTCTCCCTCTCACCCGGGGAAAGACTTGTTGATTTCGCCCTTATTTCCCCCTCGTGGCACCCCGGGGAGGTCAGTCACTGGCACTCCATCAATCACAAGTATCCAAACGACCGGTAGGACTCCCGAAGGAACCGCCGAAGGATCCCTAAACGCCTCAAAATCGGGAAAAATGTCAATGTAAACAAAGCTTCTCTTCCCGTGATGCTCGCCCACGCCGCCGTCGCCCTTTCCCGCCAAACCTGCCTTTCGGGATCGGCCAATCAGGGAGCGGCTTTCGGCCCGGGCGTGTGGAGTGGCCAATCAGAAAGCAGGTTTTGGCCCCAACGTGACGTAGTGGTAGCTCTCGACCAATCGTGGGATGGCGAGGTTTCCCTCACGTGACGTCGTAGAAGGATTGTCCAATTAGAAAAGGGAAATGAGTTATGACTTGTTGCATTGGCCAATGAGAACTGAGATTAGGGAATTAGGCCTAGGTGGAGGGAAAAGGAACGCGAGCGGCAAAAATTAAATTACATGCTACAGTGACGCAAATAATCAGAAAAAGTGAATATGCTCCTGTCTACATATTTCAGTTTTAAAAACGATCGAACTATCTGTAGGTTTGACATATTTGCAGTATATAGTATCTCCTGAAACACGCTTCCTCGCGCACGCACACAAGCATGCATGTGCTTTCTCTCTCTCTCTCTCTCTCTCTCGCTCGCTCGCTCGCTCTCTCTCTCTCTCTCTCTCTCTCTCTCTCTCTCTCTCTCTCTCTCTCTCTCTCTCTCTCTCTCTCTCTCTCTCTCTCTCTCTCTCTCTCTCTCTCTCTCTCTCTCTCTGTGTGTGTGTGTGTGTGTGTGTGTGTGTATGTGTGTACACATATAACTGTCTTTGTATTGGTAATATATAGATATTGGTCTAATAGTGTGACTTTGTGCTTATATGTTTATGGAAATGGTTTGTATGAAATTAATTTTGTTTGATCCAGTTTTCGCAACTATTAATTGTGAGGAAGAATATTGCATTTGGAAGACTGACGTACTGACTGTAATATCAACACACACACACACACACACACACACACATATAATATATATATATATATCAATATATGTATATATACAAATATGTGTGTGTGTGTGTGTGTGTGTGTGTGTGTGTGTGTGTGTGTGTGTGTGTGTGTGTGTGTGTATACATACATACATACATACATACATACACACACATTATATATATATATATATATTATATTATATATATATATATATATATTATATATATATATACACGCACACGCACATACACAAGCACACACACAAAACACATATACATGCATATATGTATATACATATTTTATATATCATATGTATATGTATATATATATGTATATATATGTATATATATATATTATATATATACACACACACATATATATATATATATATATATATATATATATATATATTACACCACACACACACACACACACACACACACACACACACACACACACACACAACACACACACACACACACACACACACACACACACACACACACACACACACACACACACACACACACACACACGCACATGCTGTCTGAGAAAGAAAGGTGTAATGGGAAACAGGGGCGGTGGTGGGAACTCCCCCCCCCCCCGTGGCTCCGCTCCTGATGGAAAAGGCTGAGAATGGTGATGGAAAGACACAGAGGCGCAAGTACAATGGTTAAGGCAAAGTGTGGAGAGACAGGGGAATTTGGGCGTCAGCGGGGCTATATCAGGGGTCAGCCCTTAGCCCTAGCCCTTATATGTGTGTGGGTGCGATGGGTATGCTGAAGGCAGAGATAAGAGATAGAAACTGGTGGGAAGTATTGGTAGTGATGTTTTTGTTGGTCATCGCAGGCACCCGCCAAAGAAAACGGAAGAGTGAAGCTAGGAAGAATGAGAATGTTGAAAAGGGTAGAAATTTATCACTTAGAAACCATTTAAGAAGTAGCACTCAGTGAGCGCAACCTTAATCAAGGCAACGGGATACTGATGATGATTCGAGCGCCAAAAAGTTGTCCCTATCTCGCAATGCAAAGAACAATAATAGTTACCCATATTATCAAAGTAATAGGGGTAACTGATGCAATCATTGAAAAAAAAATCCTGGATCCGAATCACCACCAAAATTCATAGCATCTAAGGTGGACTATGACACACATCTGCTAAAATTTCATAAAAATCTGTACATAACTTTTTGAGTAATAGTACAAACCAACCAACAACAAGCTAAAGAACGCTACCAAAAACATTACTTCCTTGGCTGAGGGAACGAGAATGTGAGATGGAGGGCGAGTATAGACCGTATAATATATGGGAATAGAAAATGATAGATTGAATTAATTTGGTAATTGGTAAGAAGAGAGGAGGAAGCAATCACAAGAGCCAGGAGAATACCTGCTGTCCGAAGAAGGTCCAGAGAAGTAGATAAAAAGGACTTGAAGAGGAACGCCAAAGAATTGGAGAAACAGAGGAAGACCCAATAGACAGGAAAATAGAGAAAAAAATGTCATATATTATCTCTAAAGGCAAACAACGAAAGAATATTGTTCAGTCCTTTAAGATTAGCAGTTTTAAATCAAGCATTGTTGCCTTTTCACTAGATAAGCTCTATGTATTTTGACATGAACATTATACTTCTTTGAGAGGGGATTGTCTGAAGTTTCAATATCAAAGGATAGTTACGATCAGCTCACCACACACACACAGAACAACAATCAATAAAACGTCCTTTTTAAAAGTTGAAAAGTCTGGTCGAATTGCCATTATAGGAGGCCATCCACACGACTTCCATTGTGGATTTAGAGCTATTGTGAGCCTGGTATGAATGTATGCTATACAAGGTACAGTGTACTACCTGAAACACGGCATGCAAAAGTACGTTTCAATGCACAAAGCCCTTGCTTCACATTCTAAGACCTTGCTTCACTATTAGTTGTGTTTAAGATTGTATGGTGTGAATTTTCCTGTTTCCCAAATCTTGTGTACGTGACTAAATTAATGTGTCATTTAGAAAAGGCATTAACAGCTGTTGCATATGTATCGCATTCTGATCGACGTGAGGGAGAATTTCGTTTTCGAGTGAATCCCTATCGTTATTTTTGTTTTCTGACTGATAGAAGAAGGAGAAGAAGAAGAAGAAGGATAAGAAGGATAAGAAGAGGAAGGAGGAGAAGGAAAAGAAGAAAAAGAAGACCAAGCATAGAACGCAATTACCATATATTACAATTTGCATGAACTTGATATATCCTACTTTCTTATATGCTTCACAAAACTGTAAATTGGCCAAGTGCACAAGGGAGGTACAGCGCTTAAATGAACAGCCAATATGACCAAGACATTAACGGGTTATACCAACAACCTTCCTTTTTTCTGCTGGCTTCATATAAGTCTCCAAAATAAAAATAATACAATAATATATAATGGTTAACCTATAAGAACCATTCTTATTTCATTACTATTATTATCATTATTATTTTTTTTTCAGTATTAGTGTTTAGAACATTATTGTTTATAGGACGGCAAATCTGCCAGGACAAGTTTTAGCATTCTCCAGATTTTAAGATGTTTTGTTTTTTGTGGTGAGTACCTATTCCCATAATGTCCATTTTTTTGTAATGTAAACCTACATAAATAGCATAATGTAAGCCCATAAACATATGCAAGTATAATTCACATGAAAATGGGTGGATTTATAACTAAACGTTCACATATTTAGGGTCACTAGTCCAAGTTAAGACTATATTTAGAGTCATAGCAAAGGAAGGTTGGGAAAACACTGACGGGGGAGGGTGGATAATGACAGGAACAGCGGATACACGTGGACCAATCAGCGTCTTCCGTTAGCAAAAGAGGCGTGGTTTCTGGTTTCAAATGGCATGAGACTGTTGTGGGGTTGGGTTTGTGACTTAGAATATAGTTTGGAGTGGGCACGGCAAGGAAACATTTGCATGTTGTATGTAATATTGTTCACTGTCATTGAATTTTGATAATTTTACTCGAGAATCCATAGTTTGCTGTATAGAATATTGTTCACTGTCATTGAATTTAGGTAATTTTCATCGAGAATCCACATTTTGATACTTTAATTATACTTTAACTGAGTTTCCAAACCTTATTCGCACTCAACAACGTTGATTTAAAATATATAGCTAAAACCTGTCACAAGTATTCACTGTGCAGGTAACCTAGAAAAAAAATCAGCTAAAAATTACTCGAAAAATAAAATTGGGATAACTGAAGGACAACGAAAGAATTGGAAGACTACTACTGCTAAAAAAATTGAAATAAAAGTAGAATAAGAACTTTATCATTGAAAAACAAAAACAGAAAACAAATATGCATATTGATAAAAAAAAGAGTAATATACAATCTATTCCTTTTTACGAACATAAATGCAAAGTATATTGTTAATTTTTCACCATTGCAATTATTTTCACCGTTTTGTTCTCATTATTGGCAATGAGTAAAACGATAATAACAATATAAATGTACTATTTTCATCATAAAAAACCTGATAAATACAATCATAACTACTACAACTACACATGATGATGATAAAGATGAAGATGATGATGATGATGATGAAAATGATAATGATGATGGTGAAAATGATGATGATGAAAATGATGATGATGATGTTGATGAAGCTAATACTAGTGATACCGAGGACAATAAAGCCATTAATAATAGTACAAAGACCAACAAAACAACAACAATAAAAATACCCACCCTAATAATGATATCAATAATAAAAAAACACCAACCATGCCAGCCAAAAACCAACAACGAAGAACAACGGGAACAAAAGGAAATAAAAATAACCACAAAAATCGAACAAAAAGGAACAACAGGAACAAAAGGAAATAAAAATAACCACAAAAATCAACATATTCTCATCCTGCACAGGGGAAGAGCACCTTGAACTCTCGGCCTTGGAGGAAGCCCTAGATCACATGACGCAATTTCGAATCTCAACTTGGAAATATCTCATCCTGCACAGGGGAAGAGCACCTTGAACTCTCGGCCTTGGAGGAAGCCCTAGATCACATGACGCAATTTCGAATCTCAACTTGGTAACACATTTTCCTGCATTTGGAAGAAGGAGGACGAGAAGGAGAAGGAAGAGAAAGAAGATGGAGCAGGAGAAGGAGTAGCAGGAGGAGGGGGGGGGGGGGGAGAGGGGATGGGAGAAGAAGGAGAATAAGAAGGA